CCTCCGGCGCGCGGGTTGCCGTGGTGATGGGGTGGGGGCGCGGAGCCCGTGCTCTCCGCGGTGCCCCCGGCCCGCTCTGCCCCCACCAGCTGGCGCGGAGCCTCCTCTCCCACCCGCTGACTCTCAGGACGGTCCTGGGTCCAGGCCAGGCGCGTCCTCTCAAGCCCTGCCCGGCTGCGTCCAGTTAGTGCATGGCCGGAGGACAAGCCCGGCCTCCTGGCCCCGGAGAGTGGATCTCAGCCTGCCGTGGCCCAGCCTCGCCGCTGCTTTTCCATGCGGGTGGCTGCTGCGTGGGCAGACTCACGGGCACGGAAGCTGGGTGCCCCGCAGCCTTTGCCCTTTTGCATTATACACAGGTGACTGCGCGGCAAGCCCGGGTGGCTGCCTCGATGAATTTTTAAAAATTTGTTTGTTTTTAATTGGCACAAGCTAGATGTTTATGAGGTACAGGGTGTCATTTAGCAGAGATTCAATGCCAGGGTCCCATTAAAGCAGTCATTGCGCCTGTCAATTGGCACCGTTGTCATTTCTTTTTTGCTGTTGTCTTCTGGGCGTTCTTTCTGTGGTGTTGGGGATCTAACTCAGGGCTTGTGCACGCAAGGAGGCGCCTTCCCGCCCAGCCGCACCCCCAGCTGGCCTTGACAGTTTTGCAACATGTGGATCTCATCGCGTGTCCACCTCGGAGGTCTGAGGAGGCCCCGGGCTCAGCTCCGAGGTGACTCCGAAGCTCGTAGACAGCGGGAGCAGTGTGGGGCATCAGCACGCCTCCTCGTGCCTCCAGAAAGGCGGAAATAAGCTCCCTGGACTGCGGGTTGGGGCCCGCTGTGTGCCCCAGAAGCAGCCCTGGGCCCTTGAAGGTGTCATTAGAGGAAAACAGCGTGTGGAGGGCGCTGGGGGCCAGCGCCACGGGCGTCCTGACCTGTAGGAGGACTTCAGGACGCAGACACACAGGACAGCCACACTCCCGCGCAGGAGGAGGCTCTGCGCCCACAGCAGGTCCCGCCCTGTCCACACGGCAACCCAGCCTGTCAGCCCAGGGGTGCTGTGGCCGCTGGTCCGTGTCCATGAGACGGCTGCACAAGAGCTCACCGCCAAAGACCACAAGCCACAGGATTCCTGATCCAAGTGGCTCCCACACCAAGGAGACGTGGGCTCCGTCACATGCGTAGGTAACGAGTCCCACAGTGCCCCCACCTCTTCCGGTGCCCACTCGGCTGTTCGGCATCATCTTAGACCAACTCCCTCAGGGAGCCAGGAGGCTGCCACAGCCCCAGCTCCTGCCCGCACAGGACCAACCAGAGGCAGCAGTGGGGAGGTGGGCTGTCCCAAGCATTGCTGCAGCCTGCCCTCGTGACTGTGACTGCAACACATGCCCATCCCACCCGGTGGCTGGAGTTACCTGGGAAGAGGCCAGTTTCTCTGGCCCACGGATGGTTTTTTACTGGGCATGAGCAGGGCTTTGCCAATAGAGAAGAAGTGGGACCCAAGAGGACCTCTTCTGCCCCCAGCCTTCCCTCGGGAGAGCTCTGCCACTCTCCCTGGCCCTTGGGCTGTTCCAGCTGGGGCCTAAATGGCCTCGGAAACATCACGTGTCACTTTTGTTTGTTTGTTTTTTACCAGTATCAAACACGGGACCTCACGCTTGCCAGGCAGGCACTGTGCCCCTGACCCACATCCCCAGTCCAGTGTTGCTTACTTGAAGTCCTGCAGGGTCCACGTGGTTTCCTTCCCTCCATCTGTCCCTGAACATGTCAGCCTGTCTGCTTCCCCTGGGGACCCAGGCTCCCTGCTGCACTTGCCCCTCACCCCACTACTCCATGGGGGCTTCTGCGAATAGGGTTCCCCACATGCTTCGCCTGCTGGGCCTGCTCGCTCTTCTCCTCCCACTTGTCACCTTCTTAGTGCCATCCCAGTCTCTGCAGGGGCAGTGCACCTGTCCCCACCCGATGCTGCCTGGCACAGCCCCCCTCATAAGCAGAAGTTCTTCTGATATCCTGTCCAGGGAAGGTTGGGGTCTGGGAGCCTCCTGCAGGTATCGTCCCTGTGCCTAAGGACAGTCAGGTGCCCAGGGAGGGGTGGCTGGGAGGTGGCACAGCCCTCACGCCTCTGACTCCCAGGTGGCTTCTCGTGCCCAGATGTCAGTGTCCAGCTCCAACACCCTGGAGGACACTGGAGGTCCCACCGATCCTGCACCCTGGGAGGCCAGCGCCTGTTGGCCCTCTGGCTAGTCAGGGCAGCTGAGCAGAAGGCCCTGCTGCCCCTGGGTGCTCTTGCTTGGGGCCCCTCTGTGCCTGACGGAGGTTGCTGACCACTCCTCCAGGGCGTAGGTTGTCACTTATGCTTGGTGACTGCCTGACATCCGCTTGTTGCTTGCATAACTCTTTGAGGAAGAAGCACCTTTGGGGTAGCTCTGGGGAGGGCAGGCGGTCTGCTCCTTGCCTACTCCAGTCCATAAATACTTCCATCGTGCCTCCAGGCTGTCTGGGCAGTGCTGGGATGCGGTCCCCTCCTGCCAGCTGCTCAGAGGTGGGCCAAGACCCAACCCCTAGGACCCCTGGATCTGCCCTGCCCACTCGGCCATCCCTTCCCAGCTCCCAGACCTTCCTCCCAGAAGGAGACAGGGAGGACGAGAGTGCAGGGGAGGGGGCATAGGGCAGGGGCTCTGGGTGAAGGGTTTTGGCAGCTGGGAGGGGGCTGGCCCTCTGGCAGGCACTGCGGCCCCCACTAACCCCACGAGGCCCTGCTCCCGCCGCCTGCTCTAATAAACTCTAAACTCCAGTGATTTAAGGGAAGATTTCAGATTAACATTTAAATTAATGCTGGACTAGAAATCTGCAGCCCGGGTCGCTGATGTGACTCTCCGCTAACTTGTTCTGTGACCTGGGGCGGAAACGGGAAATGATCTCTTCTGGAGAAGCCCTCCGTGGGGAGCCTGCCCCACCCAGGAGCAAAGCCAGGCCTCCCTTCACGCTGAGGTCGCCCTGACCCTGGAGTGCGGCTGGACTTCGCTACATGTGTGCCTTCCCCAGGGCTGGCATCCCAGGCAACAGCAGGGAGGTGGCCTTGGCAGCCCTGACGCCCAGCTCCCACCTGGCTGAGGGGGCCCCACCAACACCTGGGGTTTTGTCCTGCCCTGACCAACACCAGGTATGGGTTTCTTAGGACCCCGTGGCCCTCTGGCGTGGGAATGAGGTCTTCCCTGAGGGACTTGGGTTGTGCAAAGCCAACTCACGGCCCCTCCCTTCCCTTCCAGGCCTTCTAGGGACAGTGGCTGTGCGCTGGGCCTGCCACTGTCACGGCCACTCTAGGCACTTGGGATGCTTGGTGATGCTGCAGTCACCCGCGCCCTGCCCTGAGGTGGCTGAGAGGGAGGGTGACCAACCTGTGGTCCCGAGGGCCATGTGTGTTCCCTTCCACATGGGCAGGTGGGGCCGGCCTTGGGGGCTCCTGAGGGCAGGGACACCTGCACAGACTTCAGGGCAGGGACAGACAGCGAGGCCGTGGGGACAGGGCTCCCAGGCTCATCCCTGGGGCCCAGTCAGGACCCCAGTAAAGGGGAAAGGCAGAGGGGTGACCTGGGAGACCCCACAGGGTGCCTGACAGAGCCACTCCTCACACATTAGGTCAGAGCCTCCTTTCCGCCGTGTTGCCCAGGACGAGGACACTGAGCCTCCCTGGAGGTCCAGTGCCAGAGCTGGCCACCTGATGTCCCTTGTGCACCCTGGGCCTGCAAAGGGAGGTTGTTCCAGCCCATATCCCAGATTCAGAAGCTTCCAACATGTGCACGAGTTCTAGGGCCAACGCACAGGGCCTGTCTTAGCTAGAGAGAGTGGGAAAAGCCAGCTCTAAAAGGCAGTGGCCCGGAGGACAGGAGGTCACTGTCATGACTGCTGCTTTTCCGCACACAGATGCTAAATGCTGACATCACCTGTGTCCTCGACTTCTGCCCAGGACTGGGCAGGCTTCCACCCTGACTGATGGGCCTCGGGGACACAGGCTACTTGCTAGGAGCTTGGCCAAGAAGGACTGAGTGCCACCCCGGACCTGAAGCTCAGCAACAAGGACCAGGGTCACCAGGCCAGGCCTGCAGACCACCAAAGCCAGAGCTCTTGGCCTGAACAGCAAGGGCGGGTTTTGGACAGCGGCCTCCCGGAAGCTGCCCTGTCCCTCTTAGCCGGCTGAGCTATTGGGGCCGTGGGAAGGGTCCCCTCCCAGTACGCTGCCTGGACAGCGGCCAGTCCTGTGCACCAGGCGTCTCCATGACCACAGCAGCCTTTGTCGCTATCCAAGCAGGCTGTGCCACCAGCCGTGTGAGCTGGGCACAATCAGAGGAGAATGCCAGGCGCAGGGTGGGGGCGACAGTGCCGAAGGCAAATCCTGGGCCCGTGAAGCCCCTGCCGCTCTAACAGGCAGACTTGCAAATGCAGGCTTGAGTCAGAAGGGGCTCTGTGTGTCATCCTTGGCCCTGCAGGTGGCTGGGTGTTCATAGACATTGATGCGGGTTGCATCCCTCCGGGCTGGCCCCATGGTGCTGTCTTCTCACCCACAGTCAGGGGAGAGGGCAAATCCTGTCGTCGATCTACAGCTTATGTGGCAGCACCATGTGGCTTTGCCTTTCATCTGAGAGGACCCTGTGGGCTTGGGTCAAGGGTAGAGGGGTTCAGGGGGGAAAGCAGATGCACATGAGATGAAGGCAAGCTCCAGCGGTCCTCTCAGACCTCCAGGGCAGCAGATGTGGAGTTCGGAAGCAGGATGCGGTTTGACACTATGCTGTACAAAGGGTGCCTGGGTCTAACACAACACAGGGGCTTCCGATGCCAGACGAGCTCAAAGCACACAGAAAGTACGAAAGGGATGCAAAGCAAGCGAGGCTCCGAGGGCGGTCTCTGAGCAGGGCGGTCTGAGTGGCCACCAGCTGCTGGGCAGGCTGTGAGGAGGGCCCCGGTGCCCACCAGAGACTGCTGCCCCTTTCTGACCTGGCTACCCCGTGTCTGGTTCAGCATGCAGGGCGCTGATGGATGAAGTGGAGTACGATGTCACCAAGGCTCGGCAGAAGAAGGCCAAGGTGGGCTCCTACCGGATCAGGCCTGACGGGACACAGGAGCGGAGAAAGGTAGTGGAAAAGAAATTATGTGGCCGTGTCTAATTGCGGATGTGGGCAATTACCAACCATTTATCCAAACAGCAGTTGGTCTTAATCTTCTAACCTTTCTCTTGTTCAGGGTATCAGCTCTAAATTGCTTCTGAGTCCTGGGGGACCCAAAGTCATCTTTAAGCTTGAAATTGAAGTATCTCTCTCAGCACCTAACTTTGCTGTCTTGTCAAGTTGGAAGACACTTCAGCACTGCTATCCATCAGAATAAAACTAGCACCGCCATGGTTTTGGGCAGGCCTGGCAGGGGTCGGGGAGCCCAGCGGTGGGGGCTGAGCACCCTCCACTTGCACCGCCACTCCTGAGGTCGCAGGTCGGTTGTGGGGCGGGGAGGTGTGACTCATCTCCCAGGGCCAGCTTGGCTCATGAGGAAGAAGATGCGTTTTAGGGTTCGGTCCCTGGCTCCAGGTGCGCTGAGCCGGTGATGGAGTCCACGCGCGGTGGCGCACGCCTGTAATCCCAGCACTTTGGGAGGCAGAAATCAGGAGGATCCTACTAATTTGGGCTATGTAGTGAGACCCTGCACAAAAAAAAAAAAAAAAAAAAAAGAAGCGTTTTGCTCACAGCTGACTCCACGGGGCGAAATGTCGGGAGGGGGCTATGGGAAGGAGGCAGGAGGCCTGGAGGCTCTGGGGTGCGGGTGCTGCGAGGATCTAGATTCTGGTTTTAGGAGGACCCCACCCCCATGCCTCAGCACAGAGGCTAAGAGCCCGGAAACAAAAATCTCAGAGAAGTCACGTTGCAGGGCAAGTTGTCCTGCAGAGTTGCGAAGCCCATGTGAGCCAATCGGTGCTGGGCTAGAGTTTCTCCCTGCTCTATTCAGCCTGCTGCATGCACCTTGTGACAGCAACGGTGGCCAGGCTGTCCCTGCTGCTCTGACTTCCTGGGTGAGGCTCCAGCAAAGGCAGGAGGGGAGGGAGACTCCCAGCCTGCAGGGTGGATGTGGGGAGAGACAGACAGCCATGGGAGAACACAGCATTGCCTGACTTCAGAACAAGCAAGTCAGTGTCTGCTGCAGGGGCGGCTGGCAGCAGGGATCTCTCTGGGACTCACCAGAGAGCCTTGAGAGGTGTGCCACCAGGAGGCAGTCACATAGATCCTGGCCACAGCCCTGGCTGGCACCTGGCGCTCTCAGAGGGCTGTGTCCAGGGCCAGGCCTCCCTCCAAGGATGACCTCCGAGGCCAGGGTGGCCCACTTACTGCTTGTGGGGCAGCAGGGGCTGTGGGGCAGGAAGGCCAGGCCTCCGCCTGTGTAGATGGCAGGAGAGGCAGAGGGCAGGGGCCTGAGGCCCTGAGGGTCGGCCACACAGTGGCCAATCTGGCAGCTCCTATTCTGAAGTAGCCCTGCCTTGGGGAGGGGTCCTCCTCCCCTCCCGATTCTGTGAAGCCCTGGCGCCCCTGCGCCCCTTCTTGGTTACCCCTGTCACCCCGCCCTCTCCTCTGCCTGGATAATCCAGCTGTCTCAGACTGGGTGGCTCTGCCTCCTGTCATCCTGTGGGTGAGTTCGGGAATGAATGCTGGGTAGGGGGACCCTCGCCAGGCCCTCAGGGCCCAGGCCCACGACCCCCCCTGCCCACGGCTTCAGATCCCATGAGCAGAGCTCCCAGGTCGCAGCTCTGGAGTCACTTGGCAGGATGGGCGGGGCCCCCTCTGCCCACTGGCCAGCTGCTGCTCAGCGTGATGTCCAGGACTCTGAGGGTTTCGCACCCCTGGCTGTCCCCAGTGGGCAGCAGCTCAGTCTCCAGAAGCATGATGAAAATGTACAGCCTTCCCAGCCACCGCCCCGTGCCTGCGTCTCCCTGGGCCCTGCACGGGGACAGTCCTCCCACCCCAGGGTTGCGTCGAGCCCCCAGGGCTGCTGTCTCCTCTCAGGCAAGATGCCTCTCATGGCCCACACTCACGCTCCTCTAGGGACTGCTGAACTGAAGGGACAGGGACCCTGGCCTGGTGGACAGCAGCACTCTGGGGGAAGGAGCCCTATTCTCCCCGCGTGGTGGCTGAGACCCCTGACAACTGCTGCACACTCAGAGCACTGGGGTGCTTGGCTCGGGGCCTTGGAGGCAGACTTGCAGGCTCTTTCCTGACCCTCCACAGGCAAGGAGAGGGCTAAAGGCGGGGTGCATGGGGCTGGGGATCATGGGAAAACAAGTGTCAGTTATTTTAATCAATGTCACCCTCGAGAGAGCCAGGAGACCTTCAGAGTCATCAGTATTAGGGCGCAGCTGAAGCCGAGCAGCTGGGAGGAGCAGCACCTCGGTGGTGCACTGGCCGCTGCCCTGCTCGCAGTCACTGCCACCCATGCTCGAATCGCTCTGCTTCTGCACCATGGCGCATGCCTACGATCCCAGCACTCAGGAGGCTGAGGCAGGAGGACCGTGGGCTCGAGGCCATCCTGCACAGTAAGACTGTCTCAAAAACCAAACCAAAAAGGAAATGCTCTCCTTCAGGTTTTGCATGTCATTCTCCTCCCTTGAAAAGAGGAAACAAGGAGTGACACAGGAGTGAGCACTCGATTTCACTTGCAAAGCTTTCTGTCCACAGCAAAGTAGTGACAGGAGCGAGGCCATTCCTGCCGGTGCCACTAAGTGGGTATGTCCCCAGCCATGGCTTCCTTGTCCTGCCACAAGCCACGTCTGGTAAGCAAGCCACGGCCAGCACCGTGGCACTGAGCTGCCGTCTGTGAACTAGTGGCGGTTGTTCTAGTCAGAGCTAGCAAGGGGAGCAATTTAACACAGGACACGTAGCTGATAGGATTATTATAGCGGTCACCTGAAGAGCCAAGTACAGGTGCAGGAGAGCTGTCCACGCGCGAGAGACCTGAGACTCCGGCTGAGGGCCCGGAGCCCACGACAGTGCCTCACACAGCCTGCTGCACGGATCTGCGCTGGGAAGGCCCAGAGGTCAGCGGTGAGCTAGAAAGTCTGTGTCAGCGGGACGGAGGGCCCGAGCCAGCGGCTGAGCATCTGCACCGAGCCAGGAAGCAACGCTCGGGGCAAGGACAGAGCTCCCCGAAGCTTACTGCAGTGATGGCATCGAGAATGTGGCCACCACATGACATCACTGATGTCATTATCAGGGACAGCAAGGACCTGAGCCCCCCCGACAATGACACCAGGCGAGGTCCCATCAGGAAGGCCAGCACGACCAGCTCCTCTAGGGGACTGAGCAGGGCACCGTCTTCTCCTCTGAGCCAGGAAGCGATGCTCAAGGAAAGGACCAGAGCTCCTCCCAAGTGAACTGCAGCCATTCCCAGCGACAAGGCCCTGAGCTCCTGTGACAACGAGAACAGTGGAGTTCCTTAGGAAAGCCAGCGCGACCGGCTCTTCCAGGGAACCACGGCGCCACCTCCTCCTTTCCAGTCCACCTTTTCAGGTCGTTGTCAGCAGCCCTCCAGTGGCCTCCACTCCCAGCACCACGCTGCTTCAGAGCAGCTGGGTGCTACAAGTTGACCACCACTTGCCAACACGCCATAGCGGTTTTGGTCAAAACAATGAACCACCCAGTGCACAGCTGCCTGGAGACAGGCTGCTGCCTGCCGCCCAGACAAGTGTCTATCTGCCTTTTCTGCACATCTAAAGTGAGACCTTCAAGATGGAAGTGGAAGCCAAAATTGCTGTGCCCAGGGAGCAGGGGCCCTTTGCTTAACTCCTGGAAGGGCTAAGAGGGGGCGTCTGGGTGCTGGGCAGAGGGCTAAGAACAGAGTTCCAAGTGCTCCTCTCTCCTGGCCGAGCAGAGAAGCAGGCCGTGTCCTCTGCAGCTGTGGCCAGTTCAACACCGAGCTGCTGTTGTTGTTTTGAGGCAGGGTCTTGCTACGTAGCCCAAGCCAGCCTAGAGTCCCAGCGGTCTTCCTCCCTCAGCCTGCTGAATGCTGAGAGGACAGGCCTGCACCACTAACCTGTGCCCCGCGGGTTGCTTCATTTTAGAAGTGTAGCAGCTGGGCTCACACTACTGCGTGTGGTGTTCAGGTGTGTGCGCACACGGCAGAGGTGTGTGGCTGTGTGCCCAACACCAACAGAGATTGCCTGTGTCCATGGGGACAGGGCGGATGGGCGCTGGGAGGCTGAGGGCTGCCACGTGGGCAGCGGCGTAGTCAGATGCCCCCGGGCACCGGGGTGACCAGCAGGCTGTCTGCGCCCTAGGGCTGCTGACCTGGACAGGGCACGCCCAGGGTGGCCTCGTCATGGCAGAGGCCAGGGGACTCATGCTTTTCCAGGTGGGGCCAGCAGGGGGCCCTTTTCCCCAGGGCCCTCTGGCCTCGTCCACCAGGGTTAACCACCCCTCCCTGTTCCCCAATCCAGGAATTAAAAATTCACACTGTCCCCGGGGCTGTGAAAAAGATATGTGACATGAAATTAAAAGGGAAAGAGATTATTTTAATCCTCTTGGTGGGCATAAAACAATGAGGGCCTCTGGCCAGGAAAGCTGTCCTTTGCTGGCCGCAGGCGGGCAGGCTCGGCCTGCAGCAGGCACAGGTAATTGAGTGTGCGCTTCCTTCTGGTCCCGCAGACATGCTCCTCATGCTGGGGTGAGCAGAGGGCACCTGGAGCTGCTCTGTGACGGCAGCGCTCGCCTAGCTGGGGATGCGCAGGGATCAGAGCAGGGGCAGGAAGCGCAGCAGCACTGCTGACAGGGGACCACGGGCACCAGCTCCGTGCCTATTAGGGAGGGGCCTGTACCCCACTGGGGGTGTGGGGTGTGCAAGCCTCTCCCCTCCCCTCCCTGGGGCACAGCTCGACAGTGACCTGGCAGGACTTGGCTTTGAGCAGGGCACCCTCCTTGCATCTTTCCTCCCTCCTCAGCAAAGTGGCAGCGTCCCACATTAAATGCCAGGACTGAGACTGCCCATGGCTGATTCGGCCTGCTCCTTGCTCCCAAGCCCCCTGCGACATGCAGAGCAGGGCTGGGAGTCCAGGAGGGAGACCAGGAGGAGGCAGGCGAGGCCTGGCCCTCTGCGGGTGGGC